TTCCGGTGGATCAAGTGGAGGCAGCAGTGGCGGATTCGGTGGATCAGGTGGAAATAGCGGTGGATATGGCGGTTCTTCCGGTGGATCAAGTGGTGGATTAGGTGGATTCGGTGGATCAGGTGGAAGCAGCGGTGGATATGGAGGTTCTTTCACTGGATCAAGTGGTGGATTAGGTGGATCAGGTGGAAGCAGCGGTGGATATGGTGGTTCTTCCGGTGGATCAAGTGGTGGATTAGGCGGAATTGGTGGATCAGGTGGAAGCAACGGTGGAGATGCTGGTTCCTCCGGTGGATCAAGTGCCGGATTCGGTGGATCAGGAGGATCAAGTGGGATCAGCGGTGGATATGGCGGTTCTTCCGGTGGATCAAGTGGAGGCAGCAGTAGCGATTCGGTGGATCAGGTGGAAGCAGCGGTGGGATATGGCGGTTCTTCCGGTGGATCAAGTGGAGGCAGCAGTGGCGGATTCGGTGGATCAGGTGGAAGCAGCGGTGGATATGGCGGTTCTCCCGGTGGATCAAGTGGAGGCAGCAGTGGCGGATTCGGTGGTTCAGGTGGGAGCAGCGATGGATATGGCGGTTCTTCCGGTGGATCAAGTGGAGGCAGCAGTGGCGGATTCGGTGGATCAGGTGGAAGCAGCGGTGGATATGGCGGTTCTTCCGGTGGAACAAGTGGAGGCAGCAGTGGCGGATTCGGTGGATCAGGTGGGAACAGCGGTGGATATGGCGGTTCTTCCGGTGGATCAAGTGGAGGCAGCAGTGGCGGATTCGGTGGATCAGGTGGGAGCAGCGGTGGATATGGCGGTTCTTCCGGTGGATCAAGTGGAGGCAGCAGTGGCGGATTCGGTGGATCAGGTGGGAGCAGCGGTGGATATGGCGGGTCTTCCGGTGGAACAAGTGGGGGCAGCAGTGGCGGATTCGGTGGATCAGGTGGGAGCAGCGGTGGATATGGCGGTTCTTCCGGTGGATCAAGTGGAGGCAGCAGTGGCGGATTCGGTGGATCAGGTGGAGCAGCGGTGGATATGGCGGTTCTTCCGGTGGATCAAGTGGTGGATTAGGTGGAATTGGTGGATCAGGTGGAAGCAGCGGCGGATATGGCGGTTCTTCCGGTGGATCAAGTGGTGGATTAGGTGGATCAGGTGGAAGCAGCGGTGGATATGGCGGTTCTTCCGGTGGATCAAGTGGAGGCAGCAGTGGCGGATTCGGTGGATCAGGTAAAAGCAGCGGTGGATATGGCGGTTCTTCCGGTGGATCAAGTGGAGGCAGCAGTGGCGGATTCGGTGGATCAGGTGGAAGCAGCGGTGGATATGGCGGTTCTTCCGGTGGATCAAGTGGAGGCAGCAGTGGAGGATTCGGTGGATCAGGTGGAAGTAGCGGTGGATATGGCGGTTCTTCCGGTGGATCAAGTGGTGGATTAGGTGGAATTGGTGGATCAGGTGGAAGCAGCGGTGGATATGGCGGTTCTTCCGGTGGATCAAGTGGTGGATTAGGTGGATCAGGTGGAAGCAGCGGTGGATATGGTGGTTCCTCCGGTGGATCAAGTGGTGGATTAGGTGGAATTGGTGGATCAGGTGGAAGCAGCGGTGGAGATGCTGGTTCCTCCGGTGGATCAAGTGGCGGATTCGGTGGATCAGGAGGATCAAGTGGGAGCAGCGGTGGATATGGCGGTTCTTCCGGTGGATCAAGTGGAGGCAGCAGTGGCGGATTCGGTGGATCAGGTGGAAACAGCGGTGGATATGGATCAAGCGGTGGATCAGGTGGATGGATATGGCGGTTCTTCCGGTGGATCAAGTGGTGGATTCGGTGGATCAGGTGGAAGCAGCGGTGGATATGGCGGTTCTTCCGGTGGATCAAGTGGAGGCAGCAGTGGCGGATTCGGTGGATCAGGTGGGAGCAGCGGTGGATATGGCGGTTCTTCCGGTGGATCAAGTGGAGGCAGCAGTGGCGGATTCGGTGGATCAGGTGGAGCAGCGGTGGATATGGCGGGTCTTCCGGTGGATCAAGTGGAGGCAGCAGTGGCGGATTCGGTGGATCAGGTGGAAGCAGCGGTGGATATGGCGGTTCTTCCGGTGGATCAAGTGGAGGCAGCAGTGGCGGATTCGGTGGATCAGGTGGAAGCAGCGGTGGATATGGCGGTTCTTCCGGTGGATCAAGTGGAGGCAGCAGTGGCGGATTAGGTGGATCAGGTGGAAGCAGCGGTGGATATGGCGGGTCTTCTAGTGGATCAAGTGGTGGATTAGGTGGATTTGATGGATCAGGTGGAAGCAGCGGTGGATATGGCGGTTCTTCCGGTGGATCAAGTGGTGGATTAGGTGGATCAGGTGGAAGCAGCGGTGGATATGGCGGTTCTTCCGGTGGATCAAGTGGAGGCAGCAGTGGCGGATTCGGCGGATCAGGTGGAAGCAGCGGTGGATATGGCGGTTCTTCCGGTGGATCAAGTGGTGGATTAGGTGGAATTGGTGGATCAGGTGGAAGCAGCGGCGGATATGGCGGTTCTTCCGGTGGATCAAGTGGTGGATTAGGTGGAATTGGTGGATCAGGTGGAAGCAGCGGTGGATATGGCGGGTCTTCCGGTGGATCAAGTGGTGGATTAGGTGGAATTGGTGGATCAGGTGGAAGCAGCGGTGGATGGCGGGTCTTCCGGTGGATCAAGTGGTGGATTAGGTGGAATTGGTGGATCAGGTGGAAACAGCGGTGGATATGGCGGGTCTTCCGGTGGATCAAGTGGAGGCAGCAGTGGCGGATTCGGTGGATCAAGTGGTGGATTAGGTGGAATTGGTGGATCAGGTGGAAGCAGCGGTGGATATGGCGGATCTTCTACTGATTCAAGTGGTGGAATAGGTGGAATTGGTGGATCAGGTGGAAGCAGCGGTGGATATGGCGGGTCTTCTACTGGATCAAGTGGTGGAATAGGTGGGTGGATCAGGTGGAAGCAGCACTGGATATGGCGGATCTTCTACTGGATCAAGTGGTGGATTAGGTGGAATTGGTGGATCAGGTGGAAGCAGCGGTGGATATGGAGGATCTTCTACTGGATCAAGTGGTGGATTAGGTGGAATTGGTGGATCAAGTGGAAGCAGCGGTGGATATGGCGGGTCTTCTACTGGATCAAGTGGTGGAATAGGTGGAATTGGTGGATCAGGTGGAAGCAGCACTGGATATGGCGGATCTTCTACTGGATCAAGTGGTGGAATAGGTGGAATTGGTGGATCAAGTGGAAGCAGCGGTGGGTATGGCGGGTCTTCCGGTGGATCAAGTGGTGGATTAGGTGGAATTGGTGGATCAGGTGGAAGCAGCTCTGGATATGGCGGATTTTCCACTGGATCAAGTGGTGGGATAGGTGGAATTGGTGGATCAGGTGGAAGCAGCGGTGGATATGGCGGGTCTTCCACTGGATCAAGTGGTGGAATAGGTGGAATTGGTGGATCAAGTGGAAGCAGCGGTGGATATGGCGGGTCTTCCACTGGATCAAGTGGTGGATTAGGTGGAAATGGTGGATCAAGTGGAAGCAGCGGTGGATATGGCGGGTCTTCCACTGGATCAAGTGGTGGAATAGGTGGGATTGGTGGATCAGGTGGAAGCAGCGCTGGATATGGTGGATCTTCTACTGGATTAAGTGGTGGATTAGGTGGGATTGGTGGATCAGGTGGAAGCAGCACTGGATATGGCGGATCTTCTACTGGATCAAGTGGTGGAATAGGTGGAATTGGTGGATCAGGTGGAAGCGGCACTGGATATGGGGGTTCTTCCGGTGGATCAAGTGGTGGATTAGGTGGAATTGGTGGATCAGGTGGAAGCAGCGGTGGATATGGTGGTTCTTCCGGTGGATCAAGTGGTGGATTAGGTGGAATTGGTGGATCAGGTGGAAGCAGCGCTGGATATGGAGGTTCCTCCGGTGGATCAAGTGGTGGATTAGGTGGATCAGGTGGCAGCAGCGGTGGATATGGCGGTTCCTCCGGTGGATCAAGTGGTGGATTAGGTGGAATTGGTGGATCAGGTGGAAGCAGCGGTGGATATGGCGGTTCCTCCGGTGGATCAAGTGGTGGATTAGGTGGAATTGGTGGATCAGGTGGAAGCAGCGGTGGATATGGCGGTTCTTCCGGTGGATCAAGTAGTGGATTAGGTGGAATTAGTGGATCAGGTGGAGGCAGCGGTGGATATGGCGGTTCCTCCGGTGGATCAAGTGGTGGAGTAGGTGGATCAGGTGGAAGCAGCGGTGGATATGGCGGGTCTTCCACTGGATCAAGTGGAATTGGTGGATCAAGTGGAAGCAGCGGTGGATATGGCGGTTCTTCCGGTGGATCAAGTGGTGGAGTAGGTGGATCAGGTGGAAGCAGCGGTGAATATGGCGGTTCCTCCGGTGGATCAAGTGGTGGATTAGGTGGAAATGGTGGATCAGGTGGAAGCAGCGGTGGATATGGTGGTTCTTCCGGTGGATCAAGTGGTGGATTAGGTGGAATTAGTGGATCAAGTGGAAGCAGCGGTGGATATGGCGGTTCTTCCGGTGGATCAAGTGGGGGAGTAGGTGGATCTGGTGGAAGCAGCACTGGATATGGCGGTTCTTCCACTGGATCAAGTGGTGGATTAGGTAGAACTGGTGGATCAGGTGGAAGCAGTGGTGGATATGGCCTGTCTTCCGGTGGATCAAGTGGTGGATTAGGTGGAATTGGTGGATCAGGTGGAAGCAGCGGTGGATATGGCGGTTCTTCCACTGGATCAAGTGGTGGATTAGGTGGAACTGGTGGATCAGGTGGAAGCAGTGGTGGATATGGCGGGTCTTCCGGTGGATCAAGTGGTGGATTAGGTGGATCAGGTGGAAGCAGCTCTGGATATGGCGGTTCTTCCGGTGGCTCAAGTGGTGGATTAGGTGGAATTGGTGGATCAAGTGGAAGCAGCGGTGGATATGGCGGTTCTTCCGGTGGATCAAGTGGTGGAGTAGGTGGATCTGGTGGAAGCAGCGGTGGATATGGAGGATCTTCCACTGGATCAAGTGGTGGATTAGGT